GATCCAAAATGCTCGTGCACTAATGCACTGCCAAGGTGCTGCCTCATCTGGATGTCCATTGCAATCTTTATAATCTTATTTTCATTGCCCTTAACGCATTTATATGCTTTGTGATAGGTATCGCATCTGTTCGTGGGGGCTGATGACACAGGCGAGGCTGAGTTCGTTCTATTTCATAGAGCAGGGAGGGATATTGTTGGAAAATCTTTGATCACCCTACTCCGTGAAGGGCATTCTAACCGAATGCCTCTTAATGAGGTTGTTCAAATAGCCCGTGGGGTTGATGCCATTCCCCACGAGCTTTCTACATTGACTGGCCGGAAGTACCGATTTGTAGTGTCTATCTCTCTGAAGAGCTTCCATCCTGAGGCAGAGGATAGCTCGTTCCAGGTCAACCGTATTGATGTTCCAGTGGAGAAGGGTTCCCGTTCCACGGTTGAGTATCGCAAGGCTGATTCGTCTGAACAGTCTGAGAGTGGCACGAGTCTACTGCCTCATGATGCTGCTGCTAGCTCACCTACCGTGCTTCCAGTCGAGTCCATACCATCACTGACCACTATGGATCTCCTGTCTGTTGGCCAGTCAAATGTACAGATCATATCACAGTGGAATGTTGTTTAGTTGTTCTTTTTTTCTATTACTTTTGACAGGCTAGCTTCTTTGTCTTTGTTTATATTCCTGTCAGGAGGCTCGTACTCCTAGAGTTCAGCCTGGCCGTGGTCGGGCCTCTCCGGCATCTGTCAATAAAGCGTAAGTGATGCAAACGCACTGAAGATTAGCCTGCTCTACTTCCTTGGGAATACTATGTTTCAAATTTTCAGGTTAATTTGTGTTAGGTTTCTGAATTGCAGTGCCGATGGAAAGCGAGTGGCAAACGATAAGGCATCCAAGACTGTTGTGCGTGCGGCTCTGCTACCTCTTGCTGCTAATGAGGTGCTTGCTCTCTTCTATCGTACGGCTAACAAGATGATTCGGGATACATTGTCTTAATTTAACATGTTGGTTCCTGTTCATTTTTTTCATAAGGTCATGGATCCGGATGCTGATTCTGAGGCCTTGAGTGTTGATGGAGATACTTCTTTAAGGTGCTTGCCCTTTTCCAGATATTTTGGATTGCTTGTTGTGTGGCTTGATGCGGTTCCGTTTTGTTGTGCTGAACTGTTGGTTGTCTTTGAAGGGTTACTGATGCAGAGGAGGGAGGCGAGGATCCCAGCGCCAAAAAAAGGCTTAGGCTCTAGAGCAGCTGGTGCCGAATGGTCCATCCTTTTGGAATGTATGTCTTCTCCTTGTCTCTGTTGTCTGTTTGTTGCCGTGGTGCGTGTGCTGTTCTTATTTTGACTTCGCCTTTTCATGTCTCAGGCCTGTGATGGTTAGCTACGGACGTACGACGAAACCCGGTTTGATGATGTCCGTGGTGCTTCATTATGTGCTCAACGATGAAGCCCCTTCTTCGTACGGCCCCGTCTACATGAAGTATATAATCTCCTCTTTATTTCATGTATGCGGTACGTGACGCGTGTACTTTCAAATTTGAACGGACCTATCTTATTATGTTCTGCTTGCTGAATGTGTGTCGCCGATGATGTGGCAGAGTAACAGCAGACTCAGAATTGTGTTGCTTATGGTTGTTGTTGGCAGATG